TTTTTAACAATTACTTAGCTGGTTTGGATGTTCCAGAAGTTTGGGCAATTATCACCTGTTAGTGTTAATCCTGGTCAGCACTGTGCCTTTTCTAGAACACTGCTGCTGTAATGATACAGTTCTTAAGCTTGTTAAATTTGTAGTAGTAACTGGGGGGAACTGTTCCCTGACCTGTGTTGTTAAGGCATGCATCTTGTTTACTGAACTGCAAGGAATTGCATAACCTAATCAGCTGCCAGGCTGAACACTACTGGCCAGTCATTGACCTTGTACTTTAGGAGTAAAATAGTTTCTTACAAATTGTTGTCAGATTGCAGACCTACCAGATGCTGGATTTAGTATGGCTTCTGGTTACTTGTTATCTGTCTTAATTTATGGAGTACTCAGTGTGACTTATTTCTGGTTTAAATTTTACTCTGAACACTTCACACAGGACCTTTGGAAGACTATAAATTTGACACCAGGAGACAACCTTTCTCTTTTTCCTTCATTCTGTCATCACTGTCTCGCATCTTAGTTATCTTTTCTTTTTCACTTCTAGCAATTTCTATTTGAAATCTCTAAAATAAAATATCCTTTCTTCTAATTTGATTCATTCTTGCTTGACATCCACTTCTTTTTTCCCTTCCTATCAAAATAGCAATCTAAACACAGTTTCTAGGCCATTTGAAGTAGGTTAAGCATAGAAGTACACATTACTTGGCAATATCCCTTTAGCTGTTCGAAATCAGAGAAGACTGTGGTTAGTGTTCTGTGTGTTGTTTTTTGTCAGTCCTGAGAATCATCCCTAAGTGTTACTTTTGGTTTGTTTTCAAACAATTTTTGTTGGTATAGTTTTGTTTATGCAGTACATTGTAGTGTCTGCATTTCACCAGAATCAGTGTCTGAATTCCTTTTTAATTTATCCACCTTATCCCTTCCCCCTCCTTTTGTTTCTCTGAATTACTTTTAAACAGATGCGCTCAGGTCAGCTTTCCCGAAAGCTGTGGGGATCAAGCAAACGGCTCAGCCAGATTTCATCAGGAGAGACTGAATATAACACTCAAGATTCCAAGTGATTGCTGCTTCTACCTTCTCTCACGGATTCCAGAAACATGTTTAAGCTTTTTGTCACTTTAAATGTATAAATATGTAATCAGGGGCTCGATTCTTAAGTCTATTGACGAAGAACCTATGTTAGAGGTACAGTAGTAAGCACATGTATTTGTGCAAGTTAGCTTGCTTGCATATTTTTCCCTAACTGTGTTGACTTGGTCACAGCAGAATCCCTCTCAGCAGCTGCTAAAACTGTGTTTTGGGAGGGGGAAAAAAAAACCCTCAAGTTTCCAAACCCAAGCTTACTAATTGAATTTAAGATAAGTAGCATTTGATTTAAAGCTGAGTAGGGCCAGATGCTCCTTGATCACAAAGGTATTTGGCTTTGCTTTGACAGCATTGTTATTCCCCAGTAAATTAAAATTCTGGCAGTTGCAATGGTTGGATTCAGAATTGGGATAACTGACAGTTATGACCTTCTCGATATGTTTTTTAGCCCAGTGAACATTTTATTGCAATTTGTTCATGTAAATGGCTATTGCTGTCTTCTTTTGTGTAGTTCCAGTTTTAGGCTGTTCTGCAAGGAACATCTGTGTTGCACTACTTGATTATCAGAAATTGTTTAAAGTACAGACATGAATAATTTAAAAGAAGTTGAAGCTGGTGAAGGAGCTGAAGGAGGTAGGAAATACTTGCTGCTGAAAATTATTTATATTGTCAAGTAGACTAAGATACACACCAAGAAATCCCATGCTATATTTAATATCTTGTAGAAATACAGGGGAAGAATCATTATCTTATAGTGGTCCAAGATCAATCTGCTTCATTAGTAAGGCAACTCCTGCAAACAGAAGATAAATTTCCACTGCAGAATCATTATGCAACATTGCAGCACAATTTAATTAAAAATAGCACCTGTTTGTTTCTTGGCTTGGTGTTCCCCAAACCAGTTGTTAGCCATATTATTTTCCTGTAAAAACAAGCAGGGAAAAACACATGAACACTTCGAAGATGCATTTAAGACCTGATAAAAGAAAATACTAGATCCTTATGTGTGCTGTATCCAATTGGATGCTATGTTTTGGAGAAAGCATTACTGATTTTTTTTTTAATTTTTTTCTTGGTTTACCAATACATGATGATAGAAGGGTGTGCCTTTTCCTATCATTCTGACATTTTTATAATGTTACTGATTTAAATGATAACCCCATACTGTTAGAAAAGCCTGGTGCTGAGGGAAAAATCGAATTTTTGGATCAGTGTGTGAAGGTGTGTGTATGTGTATATATGTGTGTATGTATATATATGTATATTCATGTATGTATGTCTATTGAAAGAGAAAATGCCACGGGATAAGGGGAGTATAGATACAAGGCTGAACTATAGGTGATTGTTAGATAGTATGTTCCCTTTTGGCTACCCCTTTCTTCCCTCTACCATCACTTTTCTTGTTATTTTTTATTTATTTATTGAAATGGATGTGTGTTGTATCTCTTATAAATGTTATCAGATATTCCCTGTGGCTGGGGAGTTGTTGAACTACCTGAGAACTGCATAATGTATAATCTCATTTCACTAACTTTAAGCACAATATTTATTAACTTTGTAGAAATAGTAATACCTCCTTACCCTGCTAAAGGATAATCTTCACAATTTCTATTAGTCTCATTAAAACTCGTTTCTCCTCCTCAATTTCTTTACTGGAAAAAAAAAATCCCTCTTAATGACTGATTAGTGTACTGTGTAAAGAAAGTTGTGTTGCTTTTTTCTTAACTTTTGTAAATGAAAGAATAAATCAGACTAGTGAACAAGTGGGTCTATGCATAGTTGCGATATTCTATCACTGTGACAGACTGGATTGTCGGGAAAGTTAGGAGGAAGTAAGAAATATTCCTGAGTCACTTGCCAAGAGAGGATTACATTTCCAAAAGTAGAGTGATGTGGTTTCTTTTCATACTCCCTGTAGGTAAAAAAAAAAAAAAAAAATAAACCCACATGCCATATTTTCAAATAAGCAATAAGAGAAGTGAAAAATACTATGTTTAATCAGTTACCTATCCAGTAAGAATACAGAGGATACTATGGAAGTATTAAGTTTGTACATGAGAATGTGAAGTATGTTTGTCCATTATAATTTCATGAAGAAGGGATTTCAGGGGAGCTCTTTAGGGAGTAGTTTAGAGGACTTTCAGCTCAGAATGTGACATTTTTCTGTGTTATGGGAAATTGAAAAAACTCAGTTGAGGCACTGAGATGATGGGTTTTTTAAGTATGCATATATGTTGTGTTTAAATGCATATATGAGGCTAAGTGTTTATTTGCAGGGGAAGGGGTCAGGAAATTATGATGTTTTGGGCTAGCAGAATGAAGTGGAAAAATGGTGGAGATGGGTCTTTCCTAGTGTTTGGTGAGAGCATAGTTTTCTTTTTGGCACTTGCATAGAGAGGTTTGCATAAGGGTTGGAAAACATCCTACTGTGGGTTAGGTATGTTTATACAATAGTTTAATGAACATTTTTAGTAGTTTAATATTAAAGAATACTGAATACAGTGTGTCAGTTTAAGTAAAATATGTTGCAGTAATTGGGGAGGAAATAGTTTATGATGAAGACCTTTGACGTTTCAATACCATCATTGCAGTGCATCACAAGCATTGGGTGATCTTCACAAATACCTGGGACAGGTTTCAATGTGGACAGTTCTTGGGCTCTCAAACTCGAGGCTCAGCACAAAGCAGCAGCTGCAGAGTGAGGAGGGGGACAGGTGAGCTGAGCTGCTTTATGCTCCAGGAAGAATTGCAACATCCATTGCCTTTTGATCTCTTCTCTGGTCCTTGAGGGATGGGAGGTGCACACCATCACACGCTTGGTGTCGGTGCCAGAGGCCTCCTGGAGAGACCTCCATAGGTTTGAAGGTCTGCACTTTGCCTTTATCTAAAACCAGCTTTAAATAAATGATAAAAGTCGTAAGTGTGAGCGTTAGCTGGCATGTTGTTTCTTTTGGTTTTAACTTATTTGTATAAAACTTAGAAAATAATTTTTAAAAAATAGAATATAATTTTTCTGATCAGTTGTTTAGATCGGTTGATTTGCAGTCTGTTACACAGTGCACTGTGAATTAGTGAACTGACTTCCATAGTTCTTCAGTTTCTTCAAGTCATTAAAGTTTAGGATCCCGTTTTGTTTTTCATGTAGTATTGGTAAAATAGGATTATTCTTTGGTTTTGAACAAAGTTTTATTTAACTGTAAAAAGTAAAGCTGTGAGATGAGAGAATTCCAATTAAGAATTTAGAGTAAAAAAGTCTTAAGTGACATTTATTTCATAGCACTACATTTGTCACCATCTTCTTGGTGATGTTATTTTTAATTTTTGGAGAAACTCGAATTATTTATCAATGATTAAGATGTGCTTACCTTTGAAGACGAGTAAGTAGGAGTGTAAATATATATATCTAAAAGCAACTGAAAACTGACACACTTTTCACACCTGTACATAAATGAGATCAAGTAGTTAGCAGTATTGAGTAACTTCTCCATGGCAGTTTTGAGCTTGGATACCAAAGGGTATTTTTAGAAGACATGTCTCCTTTATTTCAAGTAAAATGTTTGCTGAACTTCTCTTTACCGATTTATTTAGAATTCTTGGTAGTATTTTTAGTTGTCTTTTTATATATAGTGAAGAATCCCATCTAGTCTTTGCTGATTTTGTACTATATAAGCATACAGAGAATTAAGTTCTTGCTCTTCAAGTTAGCATTTGACTTATGCAAGTTTTTCTGTATCAATGTAATTGTTATCTATTAATTGCTCACAGGATATCTAGAAACCATGTCCTCTATCATCCATGTACCTTACCAGCACAATATAATAATACCAATCTTAAACTAACCTTATTTCTCCTGATAGTTAATACATGTTGTGGAAATTAGGGCTTAGGAAGCCTGTTTGATTTAAAAATTTAAAAAAAAAAAAAAAAAAAAAAAGAAAAATAACCCAAAGCAACAAAACACCCACAACTTCTCCCCCCAAAAAACCCAAATCAACTTATACCCACATTACAATTATTTTGCTAATCTGCAACATTGATATAAAGAAGCTTTTTTGCCCCTCTGGTATATTTTAGATCATGAATATTATCACAAAATAGATTTATCTAAGTCTTCACAGGCTTTAAATAGCCTGGTCAATTGGCTGTTTTATAAGGATCCTCTTGAGAGTTGTATTTCTCTGTCCTTTAAATGAATGCAAAGAACTAAGTTTCTGCACTGGAAAAATTCTATATGGGACTAGTAACATTGGTCTGGTTTAAGATAGTCCTGCAGGAATGATAAATTTATTTTTATCTTTAGTGCACAATATTAGGTAGTTCCTTTAACTCTTGCCTTAGTCAATGGGAGCTGTATACCTCACTTCCCTAAATCATGTCTCCCTCCTCCCTGTTTCCTCTGCAGGTCTTTCCCAATCTTAATTAACAAAACCATTAGAAAATATAAGTCAAATGCTGCACAAAGCTTTTACTGTGTACATGTACTTAGCGGAAAACGTGTAACTATATACAGATTATTGGGTGGTAGAGAGCTTTAGAGCTAGAAGGGGTGTAGAAATGTTGATGTCCTTCTGCTCCTACATTGAGAGTGTGTGTAGACACATGCTCTGTGTTGTCACCTGAAAGCATTCCTGTCTTCCACTGCTAAAGGCACCTTGCTGGCTACGTTAAATGCCGAGCTTAAGTGCTGTGACTATTTTCCTTTTCTTCCTTTCAAAGAATTTAAAAAAAAAAAAGCACACACATATAAATGCATCTCCTAATGTGAACCTAAGGCCTGATCTAATACTGTAATAATAAAGCATTACATAGGGTTGTATTTAACTGGGTGGAAATTCAAGCATGTGCTTCTACATCTTTTTATGCTTTTTGCCTTAAAAGCTATGTCAGTTTCAGTTGTAAAAATGACACTCGTTAGTAGTCTCCTTTTGGGGAGAGTAAGTTTTTGTGGAATCTCATGCATGTGGGCTCAGTGTATGCCAGTGTTAGAGTCAACTGAAGTGTTTGCAATGTCTTTGCCTCTATCCCAAGGAGCCAATCTTATTACTAATTACCCTTGTTAACACAAGGGTTTTCTAAAAAGCTACTGCAATTAAAAAAAAACTTAAAAAATGATAAAATGCTATTGTCCCCTTCTTCACTATTATAGTCATCAGATGCCTGAATGCAGAAACGCCTCTGAGTGGCACCATAACATGCTCTACAGTTTCAGTTGAGCGCCATTGACCTTACTGCAGTCTTGAACACCCCCCATGGGAGGAACTGCCCTTTGTTTGGTTTTAATTCACCTTTTTGCTGTGCATCTGTGGAAGAAGACTGGTATGTCTTTCTTTTAGTAGCCATTTACCTAAATGGTCCAGATATGTTTCGCTTCTTTTCAGTAGAATTCCTTCAGTTGTCGGGTTATCCCTAGTTTTGTTCATTAGACTTGGAAAATTTGGCAGGTATTTCCAGACTTTGTCTGTGGTTATACTCAGCACAGCTACAATTTCATAATATGTCTTCTGTCCCAGAAGCAAGATTATCAGTGTAGATTATGGTTTAAAGCTGCTAAGATGTTTTGAGATTAGAAAATAAAACTTCCAGCCATATACATCATAGATCTAACTGAACCTAAGAGGCCACTTGTTTATTTAGCTTCCTATCGAGTCAGTATTTTCCTCTCAAGGGAGCCGTATTTTTTGCCTTGAAATAACATTTTAAAATAAATTTAAGTCTTGCACCTGACAGTACTGCTTTACTCATGCACAGCTGTGAGCTGTTGCCTAAAGAAAGCCATGAGGGGAAAAAAAGAATTGAAGAAAAACTTGCAATAAGTATTCTGATTCAAACCTTTACTATGCACGAGCATCTTAATGTAAGATTAGAGAAATGGTACATGTAAGACTTACCTCCCTTTGGTCAGTGTTTTGATGGAAACTGTGATGCTACTCAGTTTGCTTGATGAATTTTTACTAAAGCTAATGAGGGAGTGGAAGCAAAGGCCTTACAGCAACAGTTAACCATATCTTCTGATAATTCTTACAGATTGTGCAATTATGTGATTACAAATGGATTTTTAAATGCCAAAAAAATGCCTTTCTATAGAGTTAATGTTAGGTCTGAGGAGTGTTGGAAATAGCCACTTTCAAAATTGAGCCTTCAGGCACTGTAATGAACTTGCTGTCAGTCTTCTGTGCAATATCTTTTTCCCTCTGGGTGCTTTAAGCGTATCCTGTATGTCTTATTTTGTTTTGATCAGTTTGTTTTAAGAGTGTGTATATTGGCTAATGATGGATTTTTTTCCTGTACAGCATGGTGGAAGATGTTTTAAAATTTTGCACTTTTCTAGGATTTGCAAGTTTGTAACCTGACAATTTTTAACATGCACACTTTTGTACATAATTGGCATTGTATATATTTAACATGAGTCTGAAGCAAATAAAAGTAATTGAATGCATAACTTCTCCATTTATTAATAGCACAAAAATGAAGTGTGGAAGTACACTGAAGGAACAATTCTTTCATTTAGCAGGTAAAGCTATGCAGCAGGAACAGCTGACTCGGTATCCTGTCTTAATTGCTTAACTTTTTTTTCTGTGGGGAAGGAATCAAACTGGATACATGAATGTACAGGCCCTTTCAGACTTCAAATAGCTCTGATTACTCAAGTATTGCAATAAAAAATGTCTTTTTGCTGGGAAGGAGATGTCCGGGACATGAATCAGGGTGAGGATAAAAGCCCACTATACATATTTAAAAATAAAGATAAGGTTTCCCACCCACCCAGGGACTTAGAAGCATCTCTTTCCTTCCTCCTCATTGTCTTCTCCATACAGTAACTTTTGCTGCAGGAAATGGAAGGCTACAGATTCAGGGGATTACTGTCAGTCAGGAGGAAACTGAAATCTGTTCCAGGCTCGTGTTCAGTTGGTTTCTTACCCCTGTAAACAAGACAGACCATGCTGTGAGCTTTAACAAGAGCTGGGACTACTGTGCTTCCATCTGTTACTGGGGATAGAACCAGGCACACTTATTCTTAACAAGCAGAGTTTGGACTCCCTTGCCTGCATTATAGCACATACATATTAGACTTGAACATTCCTAATGTTCACATGAATAAAGACATGGGTTTCCTTGTTCTGGAGTTCCATGCATTAGGACCAAACTGGCGTTCCCCTGACTTCAATAACAGAGCTGACTTCAGGGACTCTTTCTGTGAAGGGTAACTAGAATTAGGAACCATAAGCATCAATGGATGTAATGCCATAGCACTTACTGTGTGAGTTAGACTTCCTTTAGAGTGTTGTCATAGTGTCTGCTCCTTTGGAACATAAAACTACTCATGTTTTCCCCAAAGAAAAATGGAACCAAGGGATTAAGTAACTTCTGATGTGGGGGACAGGCAGCATGTGCCAGGAGCCTAACAGAAGCTTCTCTTCCTTTCTGTCTGAAGGATGATCATTCAAATGAAGCATTTACCTCAAAAACAGACGTGCTCCTGTCACTCCTTGCAGCGTGGCTTTGTCTCCTTCCACTAGCAGCATCGCACCTTCCCGCAAGCCCTAATGTAGGTAGAAACATTTAACATGATTTTCAAGCTATTTGAGAGGGTAGAATGCTTGTCACAAACAGGCCAGTCTTAGTGCATCTCACCATCACTACACCCCACACTTCCTCGCTTACCTTACAAAGATGCAAAGACAAAATTTGGTGAGTTATCTTGTTTTAGAAGCTGATTTTCTTGTTTATTTCAGTTTTCACTTTTAAAGGAGAACCCATTAAGGAGAAGAGGAAAGTGTGTTTTTTCCCTCAGTTACTTCTACTACCCCACCATTCTTATATCCAGTTTGGGCCAAGCAACAAGCCACCTGGGTTTCTTAGAGCACAAACTTTTTACTCCACGATCAAGCACAGGGACAGGAAACACAGAGGTCCCACTTCCCTAGACAAACATAATGAAATGACATATATTCCACTGAATGTACAAATTCTGAAACTGTATTAGAGATTACAGTTAAGAACATCTGCAAAAAGATGAAGGTATTGTACCATCTGCATGCACACTACCCCAGTGTACAATATATGACTGGTGGATAGTGACTGGGAAGATCAGAGCTGCCTGAAATACAGTGTTTAGCAACATAACATGCAGTATGCATTTCATTTACTCTAACCCATTTTCTGCAAGCAAGCAAAACCCAAGGTTGAAGCTCTTAGCAAGAATATAATTAGCCTTCCACGCCCCTGCTCTGTAAGGCTTGTCAGGCAGGGGAACCCACACTGAAGGCTGGCATGAATGCATTTAAAGTGTTTATATCATGCTACAGCCATGAGCTTCCTGACTGAGAACTGCTACTCACCAGAACTGGAGGGGTGTTTGGTTCTTCATGGTATTGGCGGATTCTTTCCTCTCTTGTCTCCTGCAATAACGATTGTAGATTTAGCTTCCCAGGCCGTAAGTTAGGACTTGGAGTTATCCAAGGAGCATGACACCAAGCAATTTCATAACATTAAACAAAGCAGGCACTTCTCCTCAAGCAGAATGGAGTGGCAGATTGACTCTAACCGATATGTATTTTATCCTTCATCTCCAGTGGCAATTTACAGCAGGTTGATCAGACAGAACTCACACAATCTCAAACCAGAAAAGCCTTAAAACGTATTTCCACTCAATTAATCCTTTTTGTTTGTTTCTTTGTTTGTTGTTTTTTTATTACTATCTCTGTGTGCACTGGGAAAAGTTGGGGAAGCAGATACCTGAGGTGCCACCTTCATGAAAAAGGGTAGTGAATCATCGATTTCCAGTGATATTAAATATTTGCTTGTCTTCAAGTAGGTATTACATTGAAGAATTTTCCTTCTACCATGTTTCCTGAGGTTTGCTGCTGAACTGAGCAACAGTAGTTAAAGAAATCAAACCAGAAGGATTTATGGGTAAGAAAACACAGGAACACAGCAGGGACTTGGTACAGCACAGAGCTTCCAGCCTCCTCTCAGAAAAATAGCAAAAGTTATTTATAGGGAGAAGACTGCCTGCTTATCTAATACTGGCTGATTAAATGAATACCTACAACTTCAGCTAAACTCTAAAAGCACACCCATGTCCGCACTCTCTACATTGTTCCCTAAGTCTTAATGCTTCCTCTAACCATGAAATTTTGATTACAAGGAGGAAAGTACTGGGGTTGATAAAAGATGCACCACAAAAACTGTTCTCTGAGGAAGTAGCTGACGTGCTATTCAAAAAGCAGCTCCTCCATACGTGTCTCTTTGTGCTTGATGGCTTAAGTGTTTTTCTTTCAGCTGTATTAGTGCGTGTGCCTGCGCAGGACTGGACATTGGAGGGTGTGCTCCCTGCAAGGACACCAGTACCTAGGCATTTTCTTACACCACAGACTGCCTGCTGTCTCAAGATCTCCCTCTTCTGATGGTTCCTTCAGACCCTCCAGAACCACAGTGCATTGCATCTTAACATTTTAGGTTTTTCTTTTTTAATTTCCCCACTCCATGCCAGGTATCACGCCACAGTATTTCAGGCATTGCAAAGGTTCTGTTTGTGAAAAGCACTTCGTTCCCCCTCAGTAATACTGTTGCCAACTTCTCTTCCCACGCAAAGAAAAGTTTTAGAAGGAAGTAAAGTGTTACTGCCTCACTGGCATTTCCAGTTTTTCTAGGGAGCAGCTGTTTGATATTCTGTAGCTTTGTAAGGCCTCACAAAGGCAGGCTATGGTTACATCTCGCACCCTGGTTACTGTGTTAGCTCTGGCTTGCTTTACTTACACCCATGTGAGTGCTTTTAACATCTGGGTCCAGGTAGTGGGGGTTAATATTAAAAGGAACTAAACCTAGGGCCTGCAGGGAAGGTGGATAAACAATTGGCATGTCATTGGTGGTGTTGATGCTGATGGTAGCAACGTTAGTTCCCGCACTGGATCCCATGTAAGGAATCCCATCCTGCAAGACAAAAGCAATGATTAGTATGCTGTATCACAACTAGGAACTCCATTTTATAGCATTTTCTATCAATCATCAGAGACTCATCAGTCAGATCAGACTTAGTTCATTTAGCTAATCTCACTGCTAACTTTACAGGTGAAGAGCAGAAGAATAAGAATTGAGGTTCTGAGGCGGACATTAGTTTATCTGTGTCAGAGAATTAGCTGCTGCACGTCCTGTACTCACAGCTCTGCGACCCCATCACAAGAGAGAATTTAGAAGGTTGTCAGTGCATATACTGGACTTCACTATTGAGAGAGGTGAGACTTGTCTACACTGCAGTCACAGGATTTACCTGACCTAGCTTTTAACTAGTTTCTAAAGAGAGTAGTCTATCTGAAGTTAATGTAATGTTATCACAGCATCAGCTTAGCAGTTCCGTGACCAGCTTAGCGCTGTTTCGGTATTAGTACTGAGCACTAAGCTATACATGGAAGAATGCCACTGAAGTGTGCAAGTTCACAGGTAATAAAAATTTGTAAAAATAACCTATCTTGAGAGAATTGGTGCTAATATAACCAAATAGTTATCCAGGCTTCACTGATATTTGAACACTTTCCAGATTTTCTGCCCACAGCAAGCATTACATTTCTATATGTTAAGACAAGCCTAGCTAACCTTTCTTCTTGGCAGCTGGGCTTACATAAATCTGCCTAAAGTAATTTACAGTTCCACATTGCTAGTGGAACACCTTTCTTCTGTTCTCCTCCAGAGATGGTGTATCTTTACTGTGCCTTACAAGATTCACAAGCCGGAATGCGGCTGCTGAGCAGGGCTCAATGGCACTCCCATCTCTCAAATCCAGGGAGATATGCAAAGTAATGCAATGTAATTTTCAGCATCAACAGAACACTGTCTAAAAGGCATGTGTGGATCCAACTTTATCTTTAGTTTATTAGCAGACAAGCTATAACATGAACACATCTATATCTTCAAAAAGACACAAAGTAGACATCTCAAACTGACATAGACTAAATCCTGCACTGCTCCTCATTGATATTTCAAGTTGAGGGACTTATTTCTAAGATTCACAGCATTGTACATCTCAAGGTCTTGCAGTCCTACATCTAGGAAACTGTTCTAGAAAGGCAGACTGCTGACCTTAGTCATTTCAATGACTTAATGACAGTTTTATATGGCCACAGTTTTGAGTTCATCAGATTGCCTGAGATGGCTCAACTTTTCAAGTATATTAGAAACAAAGATGTAGAATCAACTTGGATTTGTCTAAACAAGAGCTTATGCATTAAATCCTGCCATTCAGATTTGCCCAGAGTCCTGTAGTTTTACCTCAAGAACTCTTTTCCTGATCTCATGTATCAGACTGTTGTCGTAAAGAGCTTTCAGAAGACGGAATGTGTTCCCACCTCCTGCAGAAAGAAAGTCCAGCTTACTTAACATGTTTCACCACCAGTTTTAATTGAAGCCTTTACAAACCTGGCAGGCTCAATGAGTTCTGTGCTCTATTCATGGTACTATCCTGCTTTGAGCAGCAGTAAAACCAGAAGCTTTGCAAGAACGGTTATTGGGCGGGCTATGGGCTCATACCCTTAGTCCTTCTTGTAAGGCTGACACTGGCTGTTTAGCTCTTTTCTAATACCCAGGAGCATGGTATTTGGAATAGATCTTCTTAGGTTTGATAAAGTGATGATACAGCTGTGATGATCATGCTTTTACATTGAAGTACTGTTCAAATTAATAATTTGAAACTAAGGGAAGATCCATTAATAAATCTCTCGTACTTCCCTGCCTACCACTAAATTTAGGGTCTTCAGTCTCCCAATTAAAGTACTGTTTTCTGTAGTTTCTAATAATTTCTAGGCCCAACTTTTTAATTGTTGGTCTATTGCAGGACTATTCAAGTGCCCTACATAAACCATCAATGGGAAGCGAGAAGTAAAACTTACCAATAAATATTGCTTCAGATTTCCTTACAGCTTCCACTGGATCACAAGATTCGTGAATGCTGTCCAGCCCATAACCTTAAATGAAAAAGTATTTGCCTCTGCCACTTCAATCTGATGGAAGAATGTGGTATGTTCAGTCTCTCCCTGCCCACCCCCTGCCCCCCACCCTAAGCCAAATTTTTTGCCAGACAATGAGGGAAATTTCAGAGAACTCTACAACATAAAACAGAGTGTATGTCCTACATTAGTGCAGAGCTTCTGCATCCAGCTGTACCAAAGGAAATGTTTGTTTTGTGGATATATGTGTTCAGCGTCTAAGAGCAGAGTGTTTCACTCAGCAGGTGCAGGCTGAGACACAACATTACCAGGTAACTAGAAAATAAGGAAAAAGCTGTCAGTCTTGAACTTGGCTGTGCTGAAGTCTGATAAGATGTGCCATCATTGGTCTATCATTACTTGTGCAAATATCTAATCTGAGTCTTGTTTCTGTTAAAATGTGTAGCTTTCACAGATTTGCCTTGTTGGGGTTCACTGAGTACAAGAAGTGTCAGGTGAGTTAGAAGAACATGGACATTTGAGAGCAGCAACCTTTCTGCAAGTCAAAGAGCAAAGTGTGCTGCCTAGGGAAGCGAGTACCAATTATTACTACAATAACAGGTCCAAAGTTATCCTCAACAGTGATAGATATTGTGTGGGGATGTTGCTGTAGGCTGCTCTGCAAAGATCTTTGCTCCAAGCAAAACTATCTTGCTGTTCATTGAGGAACTATCTGGCTGGTTGAAGTTTTTACAATAATGGTCTTCACACCAGTGGTTGCACGCCTTGAGCATATACGGCAAGAAATGTTCCCTCATGTGATTGAACTTAGTATTTAGGAATAAAATATTCCTCCCTGAAGTGGGTAGAAGTGTTAGCAGCAGGATTTCTTCTGGAGGCCTCTAAAGGATCTACTTCTAGGCAGAAGTCTGGAGACGGTCCCGCTGCTCTCGCTTCCATTGCTGACCCATTGGAACGCAGCAGCCGAGCCAGCCCCTCTGCAGCGCCGCGCCCGTTCGTGCCCAGCAGCACCGACCCCGCAGCGCGGGCGGCCCGGGGGTCCCAGCGCCCCATCCCCGCACCCGGCCGCGGCTGCGGGAGTCCCGCACACGGCTGGCGTGTCCGCAGCAGCCGGGCCGGCCTTACCCAGGCTCTCAAACTTCTCCCTGGCGGTCCGGGCGTAGGCGTCGCGGTCGTGCAGGGCGTAGGGAATGAACAGCACCCGCTTCACCTTCCTGGCAGAAAAGAGGGGAGAGAGCGGTCGGCGCGACCGGGGCGGGGTCCGGGAGGGCTCCCGCAGCCCCCACAGCGCTTACTGCCCGAGGAAGCTCTGGATGTGCTGCTGGCAGTGGCCCAGGTACCCCCCTCCGTGCAGGGTGGAGTTAGACACCAGCAGCAGGCGCCGCGGGCCCCCCATGCCGCCCGAGCCGAGCCGAGCAGTGCTCCGTGCCCAGCCCAGCCCAGCCCGGTCCGCCCCTTCCTGCCCCGCCGGCAGACCCGGGGTGGGGCTGAGGCGCTGCCGCTCCCGCCGCCCCGGCCCGGCCATGCTGGACTTCGCCATCTTCGCCGTCACTTTCCTGCTCATCCTGGTGGGCGCCGTGCTCTACCTGTACCCGGTAATGCTGCCGGCGGCGGGGCGGGGGGCGCACGGCCTGGCCCCTGGTGCAGCGGGCGGGGAGCGAGCGGCCCAGCCGGCCCCGGCTCCATCCCACATCCCACGGCCCCGGGCTTGGGCGGTACCCCGTGCCCGTACCCCGCGGGGACGTGGCAAGGCCATCGGAGCTTTCCCTGCCGTGCGGGGCGTTCCCGGGGCACCGCACCCTGCGGCTCTGCTCCTGCTTTCCGCGCTCCGGGAGTGAATCCCGCTTAACAAAGGCGTTGTCTGCTCACTGTGCAGTTTTCCAGTTCTCCAGGGCAAAATCTGTGTGTAAGATCCCACACTGCAAACCTGACCTTTTAAATCTTTACACAGACATCTTTCATCTAACCAGATGAATAATCCTGGTTTAGCCTGTGGGACCAGGCACACGCTTGCAGTTTATCGGCTTAGCAGGTCTGAGGCCTGCAGATACAGCATATCCAGCTTTTGTTTAATGTTTCTAAGTAGTGCAGCAGTATGTGTGTGAAAAATCCGTTTTTCTTGCTGAAAAGCTGTGGGGCTTGTTTAAAATCTGAAGTTCCTATAGATTGATGCATTTCCTTTTACTCTAGGCATCTAGGCAAGCATCAGGTATCCCTGGGCTGGCTCCAACTGATGAAAAGTAAGTCACTTCCATTTCCACATTGATCAAGTTCAGCATTGGCAGAGGATGCTGTTCATAACCAGATATCCTCTCTGTTCCTCAGGGATGGCAATCTGCCAGATATCATTGCCAGCAGCAGTTTACATGAGTTTCTGGTGAACCTTCATGAGAAATATGGCCCACTGGTCTCTTTCTGGTTTGGAAGGCGTCTTGTTGTCAGCCTCGGCTCCATTGATCTCCTGAAACAACATATTAACCCCAACCGTTTGCGTAAGTGCCCTTTGCATTGTCTTGGAGTCCATTTGTTCTGGCCTTGCTGGGCATTCTATGTCAAAGGAAGTTGAGGTTTCATTCTAAGTTGAAAGAAAATGAGAGTATGTTAGCAGTTGACAAGGTGGTTCAGGTATGGCTTTGCTCCTGCTTACTGGACTTGAATATCAGTGACCAAGAGTTGCTGCTGTCCAATGGCCATCAAGAAATCAGTGCACTTTTGTCTTTTACCATCTCTCTATAGGCAAATGTTTATGGAAAGTATCATGCTCATTAGTCACTTAAGAGAGCAAGGTGAAGATCCTGTAGCCCCTTGGCACACCTTTTAAAGGCACTTTGAAATACAAGAGGGGAAACTTTGCTAAATTAAGTCTGAAAACAAGTGGGCTAGTTCACAATAACTGCATTGTGTAGTTCAGCGTAGAGGTTTTTTAAACTATTATTGGAAGAAGTTTTTTAACTTTTCTTTTTTTTCTTTGGTGTGTAGAATTTTGTGCTGAAAACCTTTTAGTGATCTTCCAGTCTTGCAGGTGGTTGGTGGTGCTGGTTGATCATCTTAGTCCTGGGAGGGTATTTTCATTTATGGTGTAAGTCTCTTAGGTGGGTGTTTTGCTTCCTAAGGTGATCACAGTCAGTGAGTTAACTCAGTTGATGTTTGGGTTTAACCTCTTGCTTTTGTGGTTTTTATCTTAAAAGGTTGAATGAGGTGCTGGGTGCACACCTCTGACCTGATCCTGTAGGCTGTCTTTAGGCACAGGCAGATATCTCAGATGATGTTATGCTGGGGTCAGGATGGGTAAGCTTCATATACAGTTGCATGACAGACTCAAAAAAAATATGGTTACAATCTGGGAAAGGAGTGGGAGTTAACGAGGATCAGCAAGACACAGTGGATAAGGATGACACTCCAGAAGGTGGGAAACCACCCTGAAAGATCTAGATGTTCTCAAGTGTGTTTGGGGGAAATTAAGCAGACAGTCACTTTCTCAAAGCTCAGAGAAGTGATGACAGGCCCCTGAGCAGGCAAATTCTCAGAAGTGTTCTGAATTTGGGAGTCTCTGAATACCAAAGAAAGATAAATACAGCACCTGGACTTACATGCAGGAAATTAAGTGACCCAGGCAGCTACAGACTAGCCCAGCATCCTGCTATGCCAAGGGCTAAACATATATTTTCAAGCATGAGGATGAATAGGATGTATGTTGTACCTTGATAATTAGACTTCTAGACAAGGAAAGTGATAGAACTGTGTTTCTGTTAGGGTTTCAGTTCAGAATTTGCTTGGACGCTATGTGGGTCATCAAAATGGCATAAGAGAAATGATCAAGGAAGGAAAGGTGGATTGTCTTGGTAAAATGAGGTGATGTACTCCCTTTTAACGTTAGCATCCTGTCCTGATGGCATTATGTGGTAATCCTCTGTCACCGCAGGGAAGCAGAGTGAGATGGTTATCCCTGAGAGCTGGGGTAGCAGGAACAAGAAGGGGAAGGGAAAAAGCAGGCTCCATCAGTTGCCCTCAGTTCAATCATCGCATGGCCATGGATGAAAAAGGAAAGGGTACATTGAGTCATGTGTTTTCTGTAAAGAGAGGAAAACATCTAGACTGTTGCACAAGATCAATGTGAGCCAGACGTGGAATCCTGCGTGTGGCTCTAACCTCTGTACTCCAGCATGATGTTGAATAAAACAAGTGCAAATAAAGGCTGCCAGTGTTCTCAGAGAAGTGGGAAGCCAGTCGTGCAGGAGAAGCCAGGGAAAGTATGTTCAGCCCAGCAGAAGGAAGAGTTTATGGGGGGTCCTCATAAAGGCAGCAGCAGCAGGCTTGAGAAGGAGGGTTCTCATAATCTCAGACCTGAAAAAGCAGCAATATTAGTTGTATCAGTTTTTTCTTTTTAGCATGGGTGCTTATCAGAAGTGCTCAAATTTTATTAGAGGTGATGATTTTTACTAATTGTATTTCCTGAAGTGTTGAGGTATAAACAAACATAGCTGAGTAGCTGTAGCAAAACCCTTCCTGTACCATTTCTTGCAGAGTGGGAATAGGGGTTGTGGTAGTTCTAAGCCATGAACTGGTTCTGGGTAGCTTGCAGTTTTGTTGGAGACATGGTCTCACCTGTATCTGTTCTGTGCAGGCAGTGCTGTGGGACAGGAGACAGCCCACAGTGGACTGTGTTATATCCAACTCCTGACTCTTCAGCCGCACTGGAACACCCTTGCCATCTGACTCTTCCTTAGTCTGCTGGGGTGGCTGAGGCCAGGGCTCACGTGTGTGTCACAGTTATGACCAAACTTCTTGGAGACAGAAAGAGAGAGGTGCAGATAGTGCATCTCAGATCAGAGCCTTGAAGTTGAACTAATTGCATTCATGCTTATTAATGTTTCCAATGTCAGGAGACTTTTTCCCTTATGCTTGAAATAGTGTTTGAAATTGGTGTGTTTTCATGGCCTCTTAAAACTTGGTTGTGATTAATTTGCCAGGAGAATTCAAAGGAAGTAAAACTTTGCTGCTGATACTGGTGATTCCCCTGAGTGGCTCTGGGGAAGCAGTCCAGGCCTGCAAAGAGTGTGGATGTGAAGAGGGTGGACTAATGCAAGATTGCCAGGAGCATTCAGAGACCCACTTGGAAAACTCCCATGAGTCGATGTTGCATTTTGAGTGGGGACAATGAATCTGAAGCACACTGAATGCTGGAGATGGAACTATGGGTCCTGACCTGTCTGAGAAGGACAGCTTCACTGCTGTTCTGGAACCATTTGTACTGTGTGGCTTCAAAGGTCCTTTCCATCTCTGATGTCCAGTTCTGCTTGGCATCTGGCTTGACTGTCCAGTTAGATCTTTTCTCCATAGTTACTTGAAGTGGTGTCCAGGACCACTCTGAGGTTCTTGGGATGAGGGAGGAGATTTCCTTATAAATGAATGGATCAATCGAAATTTTGATGTGTTTCACTAAGAGCACTGAAAATGTAACCCTGGAGATACTTTCAAGACAAGGACAAAGGAAGAAGTCTGTGAAAGTGCTGGCAGAACAGAGCTCTCTTCAGAGGCAGTTTGTGCCTTGTGGAGTCACTGGCCTCCTGCAGCTGTGGAGAAATGGCCATTTCCCAAATGGTGCAGAGCCAGCCCTCAGCAAAGGGCAGCCTGGGTGCTGCAGCCCTGAGAGCACAGCAGTGAGTATATCAGTGGTGTGGGACTGCCAATTTGGACTAGGGACAAGGGGAGTTAAGAATGGAGCCCTTGGCTGATCCAGCACCTTGCTCTCATATGCACCAGGAAAACTTTGCAGTCCCAGCAGGTGTTGGTGTTAAGCATCCTCTGGCTTCTCTAGATGCTTCTGCTTTCTGGATTTGCTGTGTGGGCTTTACCACCTGCCGTGTGTCTTTCTGGCTACCCAGTATTGTGCCAAGCTCTGCTAAGGCCAGTCAGCAGGGAACTGTGGCATGAATAGCAGCAGCCACTCCATGACAAAGTAGCTTGGAGGAGGAATTGTCAGCAGCAGCTAGAGTCACATAACAGCCTGCTCCACGTGGAGAGCCACAGGTACCATCTGCTGTGCCAAAAGACACATGCTCATACTCCTTGTAATTCTAAGTGGGAAAGAGGGTGAGATCCAGAGCTTAAAAACATTGAAAGGGAAAAGATGTGAGAGAAAAACATTTAGGAAAGATTACCATATTCACGCCTCTGGCCTTGTTAGCTGCTTTTATGCCATTAGGTAGTAAGTCCTGTGCAGGTGGAATTATCTCTTCTTGTGTGTTTTTCTAGTGGCATAATGATCTCTGCAGGGAATCCTAGATACATCCACAGCTGGTAGAGTCATATGTGTCTTGCCCAGCCTCAGTGTTTTCTGATGCCTCAGAGGTTTCACTCTCCATCTGGGAGAAATAACAGAGTGTGATTTTCCCTCCTGAAAACCCTGATTGCTGCTTCCAAATAGTTCCTTAAAGATTCTGCCAGTTCTGCAAGACCCACTGAAAGGTTTACAGAAAGGGAAAAACATGCCATGCTTTTTTGCACCGTTTTGCATTGACACCTAATATACTTTAGCAAATATATTAAATAGAGGTCCCTGGTAGTGAAATGCAGAGTTAAAAATCTAACTGAAGTGAGTCATGGATATGGAAGTTATGTGTTTTTGTCTAGTTTGTACACTGTTGCAAGTGTCTGTGTGGAAGAAAGATGGAAAGAAGACAATTAGCAGTAGAAAGCAATCATCTATAGCTTACTGGGGTACTGTTTTCTGTAAGAGCTTCAGAGCTTCTCTGCTGGAGGCAGCCCTGGCAGAGAGGTAGGTGCTGGTTTGGGAAGAACTCATCAGCAGGGAACTTGGCGCTTGCAAGAGAAATCATGCAAGGAGAGTAGGATATCAAGTAAGGTTGCTGGGGCTGTGAAGCAAGGGAAGGAGTGCAGAGAGCAGCCTCTGGCTACATCTCTCATGTGAGCTGATATTCCTGAGTGCTTAGCCTTGATCATGGCAGAAGGGCACACCAGGTGTGAAGGAGTAATGTGCTAAAGGGGCTGCAGGCCAGGCTGGAGAAGGAGAAGGACCGTGCCGTACTCAATCTTGTCACCAAGTCAATGGCACAGCCACCTGGGAACTGGCAAACTGGGAACAAGCTCTGAAGGCATTGTTACTGAAAGGGTTACTTGGCAGAGCCAGCAGGCAAGCTCTGCTGGGAGAGCTGATCACAGGATGGCACCCTGCCCCAGAAAAGAGACCTGATGAGGTCCCAGCCCACACTGAGCAAGAGAAGCTCAGCACCCCAAAGAGACTGTTCCTAGGGGAAGGAGCTGTGCCTTGCTCACTGCCCAGAAGTAGCAGCACCCAGTTAAAGAGGTTGCTTTTTTCATCAGCCCTGTGTAGTGTGACTTTTGAATGGTGTTTCCTCTATTTGCTTTCAGTGGATCCCTTTGAGACAATGCTGAAGTCCCTCTTGAGGTACCAGTCCAGCCTGAATGGGGATACAGGAGAGAGCCACATGAGGAGAAAACTGTATGAAAATGGTGTGACCAAGTCCTTGCAAAGTAACATTGCTCTCATCCAGAAGGTGCGTCACTGCCTTTGTACAGCAGAGAAGCCCTGTGTGGCTCACAGGGGAAAGTTTAGTGAGAATGATCACTGCATTTCAATTAGTGCTGGAACTGTAAGCATCTAAGACAGCAAACAGCCTCTACCTATTCAAGCACAGTGTGAATATTTGGTTTCTCTTAGCTCCAGTGGGTCAGGGGGAAGGGCTGAGCTTGGTTATTTTTCATGCCAACATACCAGATGCAGTTAAAGATACTGCAGCACCTGGATTCTAGATACATTTTCACAGGACAGGAGGAAGGAGCAAGGAACCAGCTATTGGGACCACAAACAGGTGAAGAACTGTTCTGTTGATTTAGTCCAGCAGCCAGAACATGATGTGTTTTCCCAATCTGGAGCTATTAGTGTTAAAGGGTTTAAGGTTTGTTTTGTGACAGAGTGAACAACAGAGGAGGGTAGGGCTGCCTTGTTGGGAGAAAACCTTGAAAGAGGCAGAAGATTGGAGGCTAAAATGTTACTGTTTAGGTTAACAATGGAAAGAAAACCTGAAAAGGGTGTAGCTTCATGCCATAGCCATGAAAGTGTGGTCTGCCTTAGGAACTGCCTTAGGGTGGGAATGTCTCCAGGGGATGTTTGGTAAATAGACTGCTGATATTACTTCTAACTAATGGTTCATTCCCTCTCAAGCTGTCAGAAGAGCTGCTAGCCAAATGGCTCTCCCTGCCCGAGGCACAACATGTGCCGCTCTGCCAGCACATGCTGGGCTTTGCCATGAAGTCTGTCACACAGACAGCGATGGGCAGCAGCTTTGAAGATGACCGAGAAGTCATCCGATTCCGCAGGCACCATGATGCAGTAAGTGTCACGAAGAGCCAGGAAATCTCCTATTATGTATTTCCAAAATAAGAGCACAGAGCTTGTGTCTGTGTGCAGTTTAGTACAAGCTATGGCTGAGACTTTAAGGGCTCTGCCTTAACTGTCTCAAGCTAAAACAGTTAGGAAGATCCTACTGCTGGTCCCGCTGTCATTAGTCTGAAGTGTTTCTAAAGGATCCATGGCTATCAGAAACCTGGAGCCAATGGCAGTTGGGAGATTTTTGGTACCTAAGTCAGTTAAACTCTCTTTGAAGTGCCAGTGGAACTTCTTTTTGAAGATCTTCTGAATGCTCTGTGACATTGTGGAGAAGAGAAAATCTGAGATCTCAAGCTGTATCCACATGTGAGGATGTTAAATCTGCTGGTGGTAGGGCAGGAAAGAAACAGTTCCATCTCCCGTTTCAGATTCCCATGCCTTTTTCCCCTACTGTTGTGATTACAGTTGTTTCATTTCCACTTAATTTAAGCTATAATAGACATAGTATCTGAAATGGGATGTGGTGTCCTAAAGAGGAGACCAGTTCCATATTCACGGGAAGTCTTAATTTTATTTGGTGTTTTCATTTTCCTGAGTAGGGAAGAATGGAATAGTCCCAGCAGTCTCAGCCTGTGGTGAATGATGGTACTGTTCTCTCTGTCATTTCAGATCTGGTCAGAGATTGGGAAAGGTTTCTTGGATGGGTCTCTTGACAAAAACATGACTAGGAAGAAGCACTATGAAGATGGTAGGTTCCTCCCGAAGTCACGGTTTCTTCCCACTCTGATTAATAACTTAGGAGTTATCTGGTCTATGGAACCACTTAATTTGCCCAGCTGTCTTGGCGTTTCTTCAGAGTTGGTCATCATGCCATAAGCTACCAGATGTGTTGTGCTTACTCTCACATAAGATCATTGTTTTGGAGTTGAGTGACAAGCCTGCCATTACTTGAGAAGTCTGTAGGACTACAACTCTAGTTCCAGGCCTAGTTCTAGGGTCTGTCCAGTCTGAAGAGTGATAGAGTTGAAGTATCAGGGCATGCTTGCTCCCTTCCTCTTCTGTTCCTTAGTGTCCACTTTTGACCTCCCTTGGAGGCAAGCAACTGTGCTAGGTGGAGAGAGATGGAGCCGCTTGATTTGGCCTGTGTGGGCATCCATATGATGCATCTTTTGGGGAATGTGCTGCCAGACAGTCACTCACAGGCTGGATGACACAAGTACAGAGGTGCTGCTATGAGGGATACGTTCCATGGGACAGCCTCTCATGTGCTCTTACAAGGTAACATGATTTTCAGGTCTGTTATGGCAGTACTTTTGTTTCTCCTTTATTTTATAGTAAGTTATTTTATTTTTTGGTTGTCCTGTCTTTTTTGTTCTTAATAATTAAACCCTTTCAGTATTAATAAGATATTAAACAAAAGTAGCTTAGATCTGGAACTAAGGATTTGCTTGTAAATCCTCCAGACTCAGTGTTTCCTTGCTTATACTGCTGGTTCTGTGGGTTTCAGAACCTGAGGACAACTACTGCCCCATTGAAATGGATTCCTCCCGTGGTCACTCCGTTCCTGAGATGTGGGATGATGATGCATTAGGACACAATTTCACATACACCAGACAGTGAGGCTTGGTGTTAAGTGTTGCTGGCCTTCCTATGCAGAGAGGATGAAAGAAGGGTAGTTCTAAGACAAAGGGGCTGAACTGGGCCTTGGTAAATGGAGTTTCAAATCCATGTTCTCCTTCATGGAGACTATCCTTTTCTTGGATAGTCTTCAGATGGTCATTTAAATCAGGCAGCCAATGGCATCTAGGTCCTTAACTCCCCCTGGTTCTCACAACAGTCACCAGGAGTTGGGCACTCAGACAACTTCAGAGGTGTGGACTCTTTGTGACAAAACCCTCCCACATTTTCCCCACCTCCCTCTCTCTGCCTATGCAGACTCTTCAGCACAGAGCCATCCTCTTGCTCCATGCCTGTAGAACCTCTGGCAAAAGGGGCACCATCAGTGACTGGAGGTGCTGTGGAACTGTAGTAATTGTAGCCCTCCAGGTCAGGTAACCAGTGTTATGTGGCTCATATGTGTTTTTATGGAGGCTGATTAAACATGTTCTCTGATGGTTCAACACTCTAATTTGACTTCCCCTTAAGTGATTTCAGCTCACAGAGTGCACATCTTGGTTATACCTGTAAGGATGGCTTTTTACAGGCAACCTGTGCTATTTGATTCCTACATTTTCAACTAAATTGGAGATGCTGCCTTCCGAATTGACAGTAACATGTAACAGAGGCTGCTTCTGTAACTGAGCCCAGCAGGGACAGCTGGTCTGAAAATCTGCTTGAAGAGAAGGATTTGCTTCTCTGCAGCACCAGTATGACCAGATTTTAAAATAAACATTTCTTTTTTGTTCCAAAGCTCTGGTGGAGATGGAATCCATCTTAAGGAAAGTTACAAAAGAGCGCCGAGGCAGATCATTCAACAGGCATGTGTTTGTAGACACCTTGCTGCAAGGGAGCCTGAGTGACCAGCAGGTCTGTGCAGCTGTTATGTCATTACACAGTAATGGAGTTTTGATAAAAGGGCAAGTTATTACATTGTAGCCTTTGATTTATGTAAGTTTTTGCATCTTAGCTCAGATTCTTCACTAAAGCAGCATTTCTAGTTCTTTTTTCCACTCCTACAATGTTTAATTGCATTAGATTTTGGTAGCTTTCCTTGCCACTGCTTCATAGCTATTTTTATAAACCAGAAGTATGTTAATATTAAGCATGTCTCATGTGCAATTCCTGTGGAAGTTCTATAGAGAGTTCAGTCCATGTCTTCTAGATTTATATCCTGCTCTTTGCACTAAAGGGATTTCATGTGCTTGAGTGGAGAACGTGCCACTTCTTTTTTAGCTTTACAGTCTTACAGTGTTCATTCTCTGAAGTAGATTTTGTTTCCTAGATTCTGGAAGATACAATGATTTTCTCCCTGGCAGGATGCATAATCACTGCTAACTGTAAGTACAGACTGTAGTTAACTTCCCATCCCTACACTCAGCTGCCTAAAACTCTGTGTGAGGACATGAGACTTATCCTGGGCTAATGAAAAATTGTATTCATCATTCTCTTTCTCCTGAACTACAAACATACAGAAGAAGCTTATTTTTCCATCAGGCTCTTGACACAGCCTCACAGCTATTGAACTGAAACCAAGCTGTGTTTGACAGTCTTTGCAGTCTTTTGGTGAACCTCAGAATTTCTTCCCATTGCTTTTTTGCTTGCACTCTTAACCCCAGAGAACTGATGCTCCATTTGATGAAAAAGCACCAAAATGTATAACCCACAAAGTTCACATAGTAAAATAGGTTCTGGCACATGGGAAAGAAATTATAGGAGAATGTTGGAATCTGCCTGGTCACTTTGAATTTCTGGAGGATGGGTATGTTTCATGTATGGAGGATGTTTAAAGGAGTACTCAGGGATTTGTGCAAAGATTATGGCAAAAAGATACAAATGAAAATACAAATTGAAGCGATGTAAAATACCTTATGATCGGGGGGTGGTTATCTGGCCCTGTGTCTCAGCCAATGGGGCTGGGACTCCAAAGAAAACCTCTAAGGTGCATCTAGGTGTTAAACAATGTGGAAAATAAATTAGGCAACTATAATAATACTCTTCCTCAGGGAATATCCTCTCCAAGTACTCTAGGAAGACTGTCATTTTAAGGGGCTTGAATACACATGGATTCCAGATAGTTCTCACAAACAGACATTTCTGAGTGCTAGAAACATTTCTTTGTAGCTTTACATCCTACACACTTACTTCTTATGCAAGGTTTCTTTTTCTTTCTGCTATTGAAGATACCTTGAGTACTTCATAAAATAGATGTAGCGGAGACAAGTGCTGGCCAACCTGCTGCAGAGAGTTCCTTGTCAGGGGCCCCAGGCGTTGGCTGGCTGAAGCACTTGCCTGAGCTGTGCTGGGGAAGCCCCCAAATAAGGGAATTTTCTGATGCTTTGGACAAACCAGCCTTTCGTTTCCATGGTTGGTCTAATAACGCTGATTCCCCAGGACTTGTTGGTCTGTATGGTCCCTTTGCCAGAGCTGTGAGACTGAATGACTTTGTCTCCTGCACAGATCCCTAAGCTCCTCACAGCATCAGAAAGAGAGTTTTAGCTTGCAGGGTCTCGTACTACACAGGAGTTCAGTCTCTTTTGCTGCCACTGAACAGAGAATCAGCACAGCCTGCTGTGAACAGAAGTCACCCTTTTTTAGGTCAAAAAGTAATGCTGAAAATACAGGAAGTAAGAAAACTGAATGCAGCTTGTAAAGGATTGAATATTCTCGGTCCATTCTTGTCTTGATTTCTTCCCCAGTGTGTACCTGGGCAGTCTATTTCCTGACAACCTCAGAAGATGTCCAGCAGAATCTCTACAGGGAGGTGGACCGTGTTCTGGGGAAGGGACCAATTACACTTGAGAAAATTGAGCAGCTCAGGTGGGTCCTATAGGAGGAACTGCAGACCAAGGCTGTGTCATTTGGTGTGGGCCAGGGGTTTCACATGGAACCTGATGCCTAGTCTACTCTGGGCCAGGAGAAAGCATCCAAAAGCTACTCCCTTTTTTTTTTTTCTGGAAGTGATCAAACCACAGGATGACTTGCAACACAGAGAGAATCTGCTGTAGGACTCCAGACACAGGGGCCAAGGTGCTCATTTCAGAGTGTCTTTTGAAAACCCTTTAGGTTCATTGGTAGAGGAAAGCACAGAATCAGTACCCCGACTGCCAGGCCAAAATTTGTTTGCTTAACTGTCTTGTTTGGTTTCTGTTCTAGTTTTCCAAAAGTAGAAGTAATCAGTCATTTTCCTGGTTGGATTCATGTTAGACGTCTTTAGAGAGAAAACAAGGACCAATCTTCTTTTCAGAGGACTACAGGATGATGACTGGTCAACAGTGTGCCTTTATTTTTTGTGAATCTGTTGGCTTAACTGGGTCCATTTTGGTTTTTGGACTAGTGTTAGAGGTGTGTGGGTTTCCTGCTGCTTCTTATATGGGTGAGAGATCCAGGAAAAGGGCTGGTGTGTCTATGCTTTTTAGCAGTTTTGGTTTGGTTTAAAATCTCAAAGAGATTTCAGTAACCTTCCATAAAAGCTGTTAATGGGATTTAGTGCTTCTTGGAAAGCTGGGACTCCTGGCTGGAAAAAAAATGAAGTGCCTCCAAATGCAGCAGGTGACTCAGCTCTCCTTGCTGCCACAAAGATGTGGACAAGCTTCTCTGGGAGGGTTAAACTAACCGAGTGTTACTGGTTGCAGATACTGTCGGCAAGTCCTGTGTGAGACGGTGCGAACAGCAAAGCTGACTCCCATTGCTGCACAGCTGCAGGAGCTGGAGGGCAGAGTCGACCAACACACTATCCCCAAAGAGGTAGGGCCCTGCTGGGAGCACTAGGCCACTCCTTTCCTGTAGGGGAGTTTGCTGTCTCCTCTTTTTCCTGACTAGGGGTGAGGCTGCTAGGGGTGAAGACTGTTTCTTCTGACACTGTTCAACCTGAGTAGCTGTTTTGTCATCTGAAAGTACAGTTTAGCTCAAAGTTTGCCTGCAGTCCCTCTGCAGGAGAGGCTCTGGAAATTCATAGTCTCTTGTTGAGCAGATTTGCTTCCAGTTCTGGGTCCACCAGGGATGAATAATCTTTTGAAGGGGCTTAGGGGCTGAGTTGTGCATGAAAGAACATTGTTTCAGGCCTGATCGTATCAGTCATCGCATCACCTTCCACTGCAGAGAATAAAGTACCCCATTCCTACATGCCAGCAAGAGCAGAGAAATGGGGTCAGACCCTCTGTAACCACTAACAGTCACAGCATGATTCTTAGAAGTTGAAATCCTAACATCTGGGCATGGATTATGGAAATCTGTAGATGAATATAGTGTAATTGTCTTCTTAATCCACCTAAATATGAGTAGTCTACAAAATAATCACCATCCAGCAGAGCTGTCCAGAGGTGTCTTTAATTGTGCATTTCTTTCTGCTTTGACATAAATGTTGTAATTTTCTTTGCAGACACTTGTGCTTTATGCTCTTGGTGTGATGCTGCAGGATAGTTCATCTTGGCCATCACCATACAAGTATGTAGAATCGACTTATTGCAACTAATTCCTTTCCTTTTTTAAATTAGATCTTAAAGCACAGCCTTTTAGGCTGCAGGGCCTGCCTTAAGCAGATTTTGGAGATGAAAGCGAGTCTGTTAGAAAATCAGTTTATTAAGGTTTTGGGTTGTTTTTCTCCATGGATATGCTTTTGGGGCAATTAAAGTCATGATCCTCCCATGCTCCAGTCTGCCTGTGCGTGTGTTAGAGTTTAATAAAAACTTTTTTTGTGCACACACAAAGAGCTTCCCTGGAAAATGCTGGTAAATTCTGTTAAAGCTTTTATGTGAAACAGTGACTTGAATGGCTTTGGAATCACTGCTTGTCATCATGAAACAATGATACAAGAGAGGAAATGTCAGTCTGAAGTTTTGTTTTTTCAGGGGGAAGGGAAATGCTGTCTCATTATTTCTGTCTGTGAAAACAGAACTGGATCCAGGCCAGTGTTTTGGAGGTTAAGGAAAAAAATTGCTGTAGCTTCCTGGGGCCTCCAGGTGGCAAATATTAATGTGCATCTGAGTTACTTCACTTGGGCTGGGAAAAAATGTGGGTCAGTTACTCTAGACAGAGAGAAAAGACAGATGAGATTTAGGAGAAAGAACAGAGCCTTTAGAAGAGCATTTGTCTGGTCCTGTAAGTGTAGCTCTTAAAAAAGGCTCAGGCAGTGATGCACCACTCTACAAGCACCTTGGCTGGCATTGCCTACTAGCATAGGACATGAATGTGTTTAGGTTTGCTGAGGCCTCGTGGGAGAGACAGTGAGGACTGCTGTAAGCAGTGTGTGTTTATTCCAGGAAGGCTGGGGTTGAGCCTGAAGTAGATGTGCATTTCTGTGACAGAGACAGGAGATCAGCTCTGTGTGATGCTTTCACCTACCTACTGTACAAAAACACTGTGCACAGCTGTTTGCCCTCCCTATTTTTTTGCTAGGCAGCTGCATATTCTCTCCTATTACAATATCTGTAATTTGCCACTTTAGGAGGAATGTAAGTTTGATGCTGCTTTTCCTGAGGGTCAGCACCCACATGCCCTTTCACTTTGTTAGAAGCAGAGCTTGGATGTTTAGGCAGGGAAATGAAGGCTTGAAGAATTAAGCAGAAAAGTTTAGCAGAAAGGGAAAGAACTGTCTTCCATCTACCCATCAAATTCTATGTTTAGAGGTGGGGTTTTTTGTAATATTTAAATTGAATTATATGTTGTTAGTCTCCCTTGTTTTAACTCATGCCAGCCCTGGATAATAGTTTTCTTACAGCCTCTACCATCCTAAAGCTGGAAACTACTTTTCTCACTTGAATGAGTCACTGGCTTCCCTCCCCCAGCACATACACATACACACACCAGATGCTTGAGGAGAAGGGTGAGGGGCAAGGAAGAATGGGAAATATTTTTGGAAGTGAAGAAGGAAGGGACTCAGAGGGAGAGAGGGAGGGAGGCAAATGAGACTGTGTGTGCCCTGGAGGGGAATAGAGGGCAGGTAGCAGCATTAGCTCAGCTGTGTACTCAAGCTAAATACCCACTGCTGAGGGGTAATGCATGTTAGTCCCAGCCCTGTCTCGCATTAACGGAGTTTATCAGCATTTTGACCAAGATGGGACAAAGCTGACCAGCTGGGAACATTAATGGAGCGGATGCACAATTGGCTTCATATATTTGTGTGGAATTACGCAGCATGATTTAAAGAGAGCAAATTAGTGAGATTCAGTATTTTGTTGCTAGCTTCTTACTCATGTGTGCCCATGTTTATGGGGAAGGGATGCTGTGCCTGAGCAGAAAGCCTTAGTGTGTTTTGTTTTTTATAGGTTTGACCCAGAGAGATTCAATGAGGAATCAGCCATGAAAAACCTGTCCTTGCTGGGTTTTTCAGGAAGCCAGGAGTGCCCTGAGCTGAGGTGAGCATAGTGAAGGGGGTCTTTGGGAGTCTCTCTGGCAGACAGCAGGGGAGGTGCTTTCAGCATCTTCCTATTACTGCTGGAACAACCTGTCCAAGCTAGCTGTTGTCCTTTGGCACATGTACATCATAGCAGGGTTTTTATTCTTTTCTCCCAATTCTTCCCTCAGGTTTGCCTATATGGTGACTACAGTCCTTCTGAGTGTCCTGGTAAGGAAACTGTATCTCCACCCTGTGAAAGGACAAGTCATGGAGACAAAATATGAACTGGTAACCTCACCGAAGGAGGAAGCCTGGATAACGGTGTCTAAGAGAAGCTAAGAGGAAGCAAAACAAGGGTTTAAAAGTGCCAGTAGTGAAGTTCTGAGCAAGGGTCTTAAGGAGAACTGTGCTGGCACCATGTTGACTCAGCCAAGGAATTTTACATCCATTTTTTTTTACCTTCCACGTTCTTAACCACATGCCTATCTCGGGTGCCTTTTCTAACTCAACCAGTAGTCATATTAAAGTAGATTTAATCTGTATGCCTTTTTTACGTTTGCTTTTGGATTTCTGGCCAAGTCATTGCAGAGGAAGCAACAAAACCTTGCAGTGGTGTAAGTATGAACTGTTGGTATCAGCTAGTCAAAAGACCGGACCTCTGGTTAAGCCGGCCCCTTTCCAATAGCAGCCAGAGCTGGGTAGGAGTGCCTCTGTTATCCAGTGGAATGCTTCTTCATGGATCCTAACTAGGTAAGACCTTGGAGACACAAGGACAAAGCCTTTCTCTATATATAGGTATTTTTATTCAAAGTGTCTTTCCTTCCCCTGAGCTATATCTATAACTGTCAAGAAGAGCAGATATATCTTGTGAGAAGCATGTGTGAGTGTGAGAGAGAAAGAGAGAAATAAAGTGGGGTGGGAATCGCACCACCAGTTCTCTTGCTGTGTAATCTTGGCATGCTGTGGGGTTGCAAGAGAAAGGATGACTGAGAAATGCTGGTAAACCAAGAGGAATAAAATTGGTTTGGCCTCTGAGAAAACAGGGGTATCAGTAATAATATAATGAAATTAAATAAAACCACAGAACAAAGCCCTGAGAAAGGGATTCTCTATCCTGAAAGTTCTGAGGGCAGTGTCTAATATAATCTACATCAGAAGTTGACAGATGCTTTTAATTCATTCAGCACTGGGTCAGCCTGAGACTGATCATACAAATACTGGAAAGGGAGAGTGCTGATTTTATAGAGCTCTAGATTAATGTTGTACTTGAAAACTTAAAAGCCTTTCAAAGAATCCTTTTCCTCCTCCAAAATGGATGCCAGCCAAAGCAGTATCGAGTGCTGCATGTTCACATGCTTTTCCCTACTTCTTTCTTTCCCTTTTGCCCATCACAAGACAGCTCCTGAAAGATTTTTCAGAGCCCCACTGAACAGGTTGTGAGGCAGGAACCTCCTCCTCCATCATCACACTGGAGTAATTGCCATCTGACTTTCTTTTCAGGTTGTGTTTCTCCCTTTTCTCACTTACGTAGGATCACCCTTTATCTGATCCTTTTAAGTCTTTTCCCCATTAACCTGACTTCTCCCTTAGCTCCAGTTCGTGGCCCCCTTCCCACCCAAAAGCTGGGTGGTGGTAGGTGGGGTGTTTCTCAGCCTGCAGCTGTGTCTGTTCAGGCTGTACAGAGCTACCACCACAGAGCAGGCCAGGAGTGTGTGGCTCCCATTAGAGCTACTTTCAGCTGCTTTTGCAGAGAGAGCACACACACCTGGTAGCTGCAGTTCCCATTTCTACAGACATTGTTATTTTCACTGATACCTTCCATGTCAGGAAATCTGCTGCTCTTGTAAAAACGTTCTTGCTCTTGTGTTGCTGCTGAGTGCCAGCCTGAATGCAGTCCTGTCAGCCCTTATGGAGTTAACATCTGATGCCAGCCTCTGTGGGCACAAGACAAAGAAAATTCTGCTCTTGGGTTTAATGTGTCAGCTCTGCTTTTGGTGGAGCTGTAGAGATTCAGATCCCCCTCAGTGTAGCTTCTGTTGGGGGAGAGGTGAAACAGAGATGCTGGGCAGAAAAAGGAGTGTTGTGCAGTTCAGCTTCCTGCCTCTCTTGCATTGATTTTTATAATGAACTGCAAGAAAGCTCTCGCTAATCTGACCTCCACTTAACTGAAGGTTGGTCATGTCCCCAGATAGCAATTCGTGTTAGGCTTTGCTTCAATGCTTATGCAAACAGGCCTATTTTTCTTGAAGGTTGCAGATGTTTCCTAAATCACCTGGAGAAATCAGCATGGCAAAGGATTTTAGTTTAAATCATCCCTGGTGTGCAGAGGAGGCAAAATGGAGACCGAGGTATTGCCTTCTTGGGAAAATATGGTAGGATAACATTGTTCCTGCTAGGAACTGGACAAGGAATATAATTGTGTGGCAAAAATCTGCTTTCTTTTAGCTGTGTCATAGGAGTGAAGCTTTTGGGCACCAGAAAAGCTTCCCAAGTGTAATTGTCCAGACTTGTGTTACAGCATTTCTCTGCCTTGCTAGAGCTGCTCAAGCCAACTGCCTTGCAACAGCCCTTCCCCAGTTACAGGAATCAGAAATGGGGGTGATTCCATATAATTTGTTATGAATTTTCCATCAGCCTGCATCCACGGAGTCTGTCTGGGCCAGTGATAAAGCATGCTACAGGAGTCCATGACTGATACAGGAGAAGAATATGGCCCAGTGTGCTGGAGAAAGCCAGTGATCAGTTTGTGTTTGCTCAAAACTGCTGTCAAAAAAGCACCCTGACTCATCAGTTAGGGAAATGTGTTGAGCATGGAGGGAAAGGAGGTGGGTAAGGCACTCTCAAGCATTTGTTATGCACTGCTGGGACACTGAGGTCACAGCCACATTGTTTGCTGAAGTCTGTAAGTTTCCCTTCTTCACTCTATGTGTGTCAGCCATTTCAAACAGCTTAACTACAAAATTTTAGCCCAGCTATGGATCCTTGTACAGCAAACCTCCTTTTTTGTATGAGAATGTTCGTGGATTGGAGCTTTGTCATGAAGTTTTAATCTATTTTGTTTTGAAGATTGAAATACCAGCTTTCTCCAATTTCTACCCTCACCCCTTGTCCAGCATGCACTGTCAGCTGGTTCTTGTTTGGCCTGGCTTCCTAAGGAAGACTTGTGTTCATAGAGTGTTCCCCCTTCCCACTTATGTTTGGCCATTTTCCCCTTTCTCTTCTCACAAGAAGTAACTTCTGAGCCCTTGGGCCAGATCAGCTGCATTTGACAGAGATCAGGGTATGAAATGTCGACACTGTTGTTCCTGCAAATTCTGTGGGGGGAAAAAAAAAGAAAGGTGACCGGACATAGGGAGTCTGTGCTAGACCTGTCACAAGATTGCAGTCAAAGCCAAAGCATTGTTAGATGCTGGCCTGGGGAAAAGCCTGAGTCAGCACCTGCACTGTAGCAGATAGCCAGTCTCAGGAGTCCAGTCAGTAAAGAACAGAGTTTTGTCAGTCCTGCTGCTCAGACCAACGCAGTAAGGACACATCTAAAGCCCAGAGATCCCTTCTGACTGTAACATGGACATATGGGCAAGCATTGCAACCTACAGGAAAAAATGCCTTGGTCTAGGAAGAAAGCCAAGGGGGAGGGATTGCTTCTCTAATATAGGGAATTAATTCTTATTATGCTTCATATTCCTGCTCTACACCAGCAAGCTGCTTCACAAATTCAACAAGATGGTTTTGAAATGCATACAGAAAAGCTGTCATTTCATTCCTTGTACTCTTACTGTAGAACAGATTTCTACAGAGAGCTGCAAACTCACAGAAGGTAAGATGCTCAGTATATCCCTGTGCCTGTGCAACCTGCTGCCCTCAGTGGCAGGCAGCCAGCACAGGTGCTGGGAGCAGTCAGGCCATCCCTAATGGGCTGTTTACAGCTGGCACAGCCTTTTACTTTTTCCCCTTGTATTGGTGGCAACTGGTGAGACAGTTAACACAACTCTGAGCAGAGCAGACAGCTTACTGAGCTATCCTCCCACTGCCTCCAAAATACCCATGAATGGTGTTACCTCTACATTTTAATTAACCTGGGCTACATAGAGAAGCACTATTGCACATTATTAATATCCTCCTGTTCCCAGCAGTTTAAGAACTTGCTGGTAATGGCTGTGGCATGCAGCACAGATTTGCGGGCTGCATGTTTTATTTTCCATCGTTAAATGGGAAGGATGGTCTTGGCAACTTCTGTCCTACTTGCTGCAAAAGTAAATGTTGGTGATTGGGCAGAGTGGATGCTTGCTAATTTAAAATACCTTGGGCAGCTCTCGTACCAGCTCCCCCATTAACTGTGTAATTAAGTGAACCTGAGGCTGCTGGCAGTCCAAATTGGGAAGACACTGTCTCTCACCCGCATAGTTTGCTGGTGAACATTTTGGTGCTGCTTTAACTCACAGGTCAATAGCACTGCTTTTTCACTTTTCCTGTGTACATGTTCCCACTAACACAGGAGATACTTGTACAATCTCACCCCTCAACAGTGCCATGTAGGACCTGCCCAAAGTTTCTGCTAATTCTGTGGAAGGGACTCCCTGACGTTGACCATTGCATACAGATATCTCTTGATCAGCAGAGTGAAGCCTGTAGCTTATTGACTTCCTTTTTGTGCTCAGATCCTTTTGTGGCTTTGGGGCAAAAGGAATGGGGTAGAGCAGTACCTTCAGGAAAGCACTGTGAGCATACAGGACGTCACCTGCTTCCCAAACCCTTTTATCGAAAGTGGCAAGGAAGGTGGAAAAGGGCTTGTAATGAGAAGGAAATTCTTCATCACTTGTGGGTTATGCCACTGGGAAGTGAAACTGTTTTAATTACAATGGCAACTCTTGCTGCTTCTTTCCACTTGTGCAAAACAAGAACTGCTGGAAGATATCCCAGGCATCTTTCTCTGGAGCCTGAGAGTATGATCCCATCTTGACACCTCTCTGTAGTTCAAGTCAGGAGTGGTTTTTAGCAATCACTTTTCAACTAAACAAAAGGCCTGTTTGACATCTCTTAGGATTCAATGCCAGGGTTTTGGTGGTAGCAGACAGAGAAGAGGAACTACCACATGAAAGAAAAAAAGATGAAGAAAGTGTTCTTCACATATGGAGGGTGGGGAAGGAGACAAGATAAGGGTTTCCATGGCAACATTTTTGAAGATAAGTATTTTTAAATCTGTGTGAATTTTAGCATTGAAAACACAGTTGTGTTTTCCACAAAAAGATTTGGGGGAGGGCTGGAGTAGGAAGAATTTTTCCCCCTACTTTTCAGGTCATTCCAGCATGTTTTACAGAGGAGCCTGAACCCAAGCTAAATGAAGTATGTGTGATTGCTATGATGTTAATGCTCCTGTAAAGAAAGCCTTGCTTCCAGGAGGCATAAAGCATCAGTCATAGTTCTCTATCTGCACCAACATCTTTGGCGTGAACACTTGATCATCTCTTTAATGGAAAAAGTAGTTTAAATAAATCAATGCTAGACCAGTTAGAAGTCACAAGGACAAATCTTGCAGGAGTCC